GTTCAGTGGCAGCTCAACAAACACATCAAAGAGTCACACAAACACATCCAACCCATTGTCCACAAACCAATGCCCACCACTGCTGCCATCGCAACCGATTTGACCACACTTTGGAGGCCATCGGCGGCTAAACGTAAGCTCTCGTCAACCACTCAACTCAAGAGCAAATTATCCTCTGATTTGGGCTCAAAATTAGCAAAATATGGGTTCGAAGAAGTGATCAAATATGTGATTACTTCTTGTAAACCAACTCAAACTCAAGACTCTAATCCGGAGTCATTTGTGGGAACCGATGAGTCAAAGCCTTCGGACGATGTGAAGAGTGAAGAAAGCGAACAACTTTTCACTTTAGATATGGTTTGCTGTCAATCGAAACAATTGAATAATCAATTGTTTGCTAAATGTATCGAAACTCTCGAAGCGTTTATTGAGATTAAAAGTATTCAATCGATTGATTCAAACCATCAGTTTGTGTACAAATGGTTTGATTCGGACTTTACTTCCGACACAATCGATGGAATCGTTGAACACATCTCTCAACAGATCTCTAAAGAATTGATTCAAAATTTGAAAAACAAATATCAAAAGCATTGAAACCATTGTTTCCAAACGTTATTATAAGAAACCATTTATTTTAATAGAATATTTAGATTTAGATAAATGTATTCAAAAGTATTTGCCATTTATGTGTTGTTATATTTTTTAATTTTAACCTCGTTTCTATTCGATTCTATATTCTAATTAAATTTTGTAATGATTTATTTTTAAAAGTGTTTATTTTCATTAGAAAGTTGCGAAATATTTATAAAATTATTACCAATAAATCGATATTAGTTTAAAGTAAAACATTAAGTGGGAAACATATATTGACTACATTTTTGTGTTTAAGTTTTAATGACATTTAAATTAATAAAATAAAAATTATTTTTAAAATTACTAAAAACACATTTAAATAGAAAAATAAAATTGATTTTTAGGAATTTGTTTAATACTTTACTTGATTTACTTTAATGATTGATTTGTTAAAACATCTGTTTTCTATACAAATATCATTAGATCAATAAATAGATAATCTTTTTGCTAATCCGGTTATAAAATGCATTTAATATATCAAACGTAAAGAAAGTGTTGACAATATCATTGGAAAGTGTTTGAAAACTGACCAAAATATGAATTAACCTTATTATAGAAATTGTTTCACGAATTTTAATTAAATATGGTTATAAAATTAAAATATGTTTTGGTTTTTAATGATTATATTTAAACGTATAGTTATTTGTTTGCAATGATTTGTGTGCATAAAAATTCAATTAATTTGTTTGCTTTTAATAATCAGCTTATCTTTAAAACATTAAATATGCGTTAAATTCAATCCATAAAACGATAATTTATCAAAATTTGCATTTTGTTGCAAAATAAACAAACAATTTATGAGATTTTATCAATTATTTCAATCCAAGACTCGACAATAATTTATGATTTTAAGAAATAGAAAGAGAAAAGTTGTGCTCAATATTTGGAAATTTAATAAATGAAAGAAAGATAATGTTGCCTAAAAGTTTGTGTGTAGTATCAATGACTTTACTTGTGGTGTCTTCAGTCACTTGTGAGACATCTAATAGCAGTTCTCACGACGAGTGGAATTATAATGGTATCAATTATTTCCTATCTTTCATTCACATGATTTTAAAAATGACAAATATATGTACTAAACACAGATCAAAGCAAATGGGATCTACATTTCAAGGCATGCGGTGGTAAACACGAATCGCCGATAAATATAGACACCAGAAAAGTACTCATCGATTCCAATCTGAAGATTTGTTTCCATAATTACGATCACGTTTATCATAAGATTATCGCTCAAAATAATGGACACACCGGTAGTTACAAACCACTGAATTACATAAACCATTAAATAAAGAGTACAAACAATTTAATTGAATCTATAGTTCGGGTGTTTTTACGGCCGAATTACGAGAACGAGGAAATGCCTTACATTTCGGGAACAGCCGTTTCGGATGGAAAGTATATTTTAGAGTCATTTCACTTTCATTGGGGTTTAGATGAAGAGATGGGTTCTGAACACTCCATCAATAATATCTTCAGATCAGCAGAGGTTTGCAAAATAAATAATATTTATTAATATTAAATATTATTCATAAAGCAAGTGATATACCATTGATTCTGGTTTATCTTATTGTATGATATATTTTTAATTTTTATTTATATTTTTATAAGATGACTTTATATCTAATATATTTGAGTGTATTTTAAGATACATTTAGTTCACTGGAACTCAATTTATCAGAATTACTCGAACGCCACCGACAAGGCTGACGGTCTGGTTGTGGTCACTGTTTTCGTTGAGTGCAAAGTCCTCACAGATTTCGATCTCATGAATGCAATGGAAGACAATTCCGTTGTGACGCCTATTATCAAAGCTCTGCCACACATTCGTGAGTTCAGCTCATGGTTGTGGTCACTGTTTTCGTTGAGTGCAAAGTCCTCACAGATTTCGATCTCATGAATGCAATGGAAGACAATTCCGTTGTGACGCCTATTATCAAAGCTCTGCCACACATTCGTGACAAGTCGAGGTTTCACCTGTAGTTACTTCCGTAGTCAAATAATCTAAACAACGGGCTTCTGTTCCTGGACAAGATGTTTATGTACCCGAGAAACTGCTGTGGCGGCACGTCACTTTCGCGTCTTAAAGTCATTTTTGTGGACCCTATATATCTCAACCCAAATCAGGTTTTCATTGGTAACCAATTCTTCACATTATAATCAAATGTTTAACAGATATCCCAATTTCGGCGCTTAAGCGGCGAACCAATGGATGGAATCGTTCAGAATTTGGATCATAACCGCAGAGATCAACAGTCGATTAACGATCGCATTGTATGGCTCGCCGATCCCTTCGCTATTGATAACATCGATTTTGAGTAATCATTGATTACTAATCAATACATTTCTATTAATATGGTTAAAAGTTTTATTGCATTTCCTTATCTTTACATTCATTCAAATGTATAATAATTTTCACTTTAAAATCTACAGTATATTAAATATTATCAAAAAATACATCAAATTTAGTGGATTTAAAAAATCTTCAATCAAATTGTAATTAACATTAAATTATATTTAGATTCAAAATAGTTGTCATTTAAGTAGAAAATTGAGAATTTTGTCAAAATTAATAATTTGTTTGAGAATTCAGTTATTAATGGATTTATTGACACAAATATGTCTGTTATGGATATGCATGAGACAAGTATTCCTGTTATCGGTTTCGTAACAACAGTTCAGCCAAAGACATGAATATAAACACCGATTGTGTTCGCGTTTTTCAGCCCTATATTGGCGCACATTATCCACAGCGCAGACACCCATCGGTTTCATGCCTTTGATGCCAAAACCGCAGATATGGTTACGTTTATGAATATCTAAGAGATTCTGATTCTTGAATTGTTTGTCACAGTTTTGGAGATTGCATTTGAATGTGTGTTTGTCTCGGATGTGTTCGTACACTTCCGACACATGTTTCGCGTAAAATCGACACAAATTCACGTCATATTTGCAGAAAAAGTTTGGCTCCGAATCGATGCACTTCTTCTCCACATAAATCTCCCACTCATTGGTGGGCTCTGTCTTTGGTTTGAGTTCTTTACGGCAATCAGTGTTTGGTTTGTCTCTCTTGTCAGTAGTCTTCAATATCTTCGGTTTGGTGTCCACTGTTTCGGCATTACTTTTAGTCGAAGGTCGGCCTCTCTTCCGACCAACTGCTGGACCTTTTAGAGACAATTTAGTATTTATGGAAACGTCTCTCGAATGAAGTTTAATGTGAGCATTGAATTGAGCGACACTTTTGGTGCAAAATTTGCAATTCTTGAAATTGCAAATCAAATATTCCTTATCTAATGGAGAACTTTGTTTGTCTTTCTTATCATTAATTTCTTCGTTAGCTTTGCATTTAGAAGTGCTTTCTTTCACTTCTTTTGAGTTTCTTTTCAGTCCTTTCTTCGAGTCGTCAACTAATTCTTGTTTTGGAGTCCGTTTCAAATCGGAAACTATCGGACGGTTTGCCAAATGGACTGCCATTACGTGATCATTAAATTTGGAACCAATTTTGGTGACAAACTTGCAGTCCATATGATTACAAATCAGATATTTGGCACCTTATGGTAAAAATACAAAATAATTAGCATTTATTAGTTATAATTAAAAATTCCCAAAACATACCCTCAAAGAGTTTGATTTGCATATATTTCTCACAAATCGAATCCAAAGCATGAGAAGTGACAGCATTTTCAATAACAGTCGGATTGTCTGTATTTTCAACCATTTTCTTATTATCTTTGGCTTTAGAGACCGTTTCTTCTTTCACTTTTTCTATGCTTTTTGTTTTAAGGGATATTTTTGAGTCATTCATATTCTTCTGGATGTTGTCATCAGTTTTATTGGCTTTTGAGTCCAATGTTTGTCTGTTTCGCAACTTTTTTGATGACTGAGTATTGGTTGCCTTTGGTCTGAATTGACACCATATCTGGTGTTTCTTGAGATCAATTGTACGATTAAACTTGGATTTACAGCCATCTCTACCGCAAAACAATTCATTTGTAAATTTGTTGCTTTTGTTTGAATTGCCAGAAATGCCATCCAATCGTCCACTGGTTTCGCTCTTAACTTCTTTAGTGTCGCGAACTCTCGCTTTCAACAGAGTTTTGGTTTTGTTGGTTGAGGTAATGGTTTGAGTCTTAACAGTCTTTGGTCTCAATGGACACAACTTCTCGTGTTTATTGCGGTCCGATTTGTCGGCAAACTTAGCGACACATCCTTTTATGCGACACAACAATAGATTCTTCTTCTGGAGGCCGTCAACGATAATACTCGCGTCCAATTGTTGGCTACTATTGTTGAGAGATTCCCTAAACTTCTTCTTCCACTCACCGGTTGTACGGAAGGGACAGATGTGTTGGTTATGGATGTGTCGCTACGGGAGTCAAAAATATAATTTATTGCATATAATTAGTAAAACGAGTGTTCAATACATTACCTGTAAATCATTGGTTAGTGTAGTGAATGCACAGCCTTTCCATTTGCATCGGTAAGCCTTTGTGCTGCCTTTGATGGGGTCTTCAATGATCACCATTTCTCTCCATTTATCGATATTGTCTTTACGACAAACACCTATCGCTCCCTTTTTATTGTCATAATTGCAGATATGATACTTCTGGTGCTCTCTCCACGAACTGGGCGTTCGGAACACTCGCCCGCACCCGACTTGAGGACACTTGAGGGACAGTCCGATATGACTGCAATGGATGTGTTGCGCGATTTGCTTCGATTGCCGGCTCTTGAACTCACAGTTAGCGCTGTGGCGACACAAATACCATTTCTGGCCGTTTATCACTTGCGGCTCAATATAGGCCTTCAGATTAGATATACTGCACATTCCTTTGAGACTTAAGACGCCCTCTTCGGTCACACTTATGTCAATCTTTGGAGTTGTTTGCGACTCAATCGACAAATTCTTCGCAACTTTGGTCTCCTTTTCCCGATTCACGCCTTTCGTGGCATTCAATTGCTTTCCGCGCTTTCCCTTCAATTGTTTACCTTTTCTTTTGGTCTTAGATTTGGTTTTGGAAGCGCTTCCACTCAATCGTGTGTTTGTGGCCTCACTTTGTGCCACATTATTGTCGGAAGACGTTGTGTCACAATCGGGGAAAATCTGATCCCAATACACCTCTTCGGTGATGACAGCGGCTGACGTTGTCGTCGGTGTCTTCTTCGGCGCCGATACTCCGGACAAGTGTTTGCTAACATGTCTTCGGGCGGCGATTCTTAAGTTGGTCTCAAACCCACAGTCAGACCACATGCAGACCAGTCTCTCTTTACCACCGCTTCCGTCACACAATTTAAACCATTGCCGCCACTCCTCGTCCACCGACTCCTCCTTCACACCACTGCTGTGACCGGCGGTCGACTGTCCGCNAGTCTCTCTTTACCACCGCTTCCGTCACACAATTTAAACCATTGCCGCCACTCCTCGTCCACCGACTCCTCCTTCACACCACTGCTGTGACCGGCGGTCGACTGTCCGCCACTCCTGTCGGCCGTCAGACTGTCTGATCTGTTTGACTCATCGGACAAATCAATCATAACTCTGCCGTCACTTTCGGTCTCAATGTCTGCTTAATAACAAATATAAACCAAATAAGGGATCAGTTGTGCGGACACAACGAGCAATGAATACCTTCGATGTCTTCGTGCGATTGGTATCCAAGACTTGTGTCCATGTGTTGAGTCAAGTGTCCAAACATTTTGAGTTCAGTCTTCTCGCAGTGATGACAGTCTTTGTGTCGGCAAACGAACCAAACTTTGCCACCGATTGTCAGACACTCGAAGAACTGTGAGGTATTATCAGCTGATTGTGTGGCCATCGATGGGCTCTGAGCTCTGATTGGCTGTGAATTGGCTGTGATTTCGGTTGGCTTTCAGAGCAATGAACACAACATTCGAAATGTGAGCCGTAATGAAGGGATCGCTCACTCATTGCCACACATTTTCACCACATTTTTCAACGCTTTTCCTATTTTTTGTGTGCCTTTTATGCATACTTTTGGCCACAATTCCACTTCAAAGGGTATATAAATTTATGAGTCATAAACTTTATGACTTACAAATATAACATTGAAACCCATGTTAAGTCTATGGCGTTAAGCTTTACTCATAAGTTAGCATTTTATTGCTCCCATAAAAGGGTCAGTATTTGTGATAATTCTTCAAACTCTATAACTTTTAATCCAATTCTCTATGAAATCAAGTTTCGCTCAAAACATACATTTATTAAATAAATATTGACTGAAATACTAGTCAAACAATATTTGAAAAATCAAATTTCTTTTTATTAATTTTTACATCAGATTTACATTATATTAATTGGAGTTTAAAATGAATAAAAACTAAAACATTTTCAAATCAATGACAATAATATTGGGACACAAAAAATGATGACAAACTTTGCGATGAGTTATGAAATCAATAAATTAAAGGAACTATTATTACAATTAAAAGAAAGTTAAGTTTTTTTGTATTCAATGGTCGTTACAATTATCACCAAAAATTAATACTCATTTCAGAAAAACACAACTAAAGCTAGAAATTAAATAATACTTAATATTTGACAAAATCAAAGACATAAAGAAGTCTTAAGAGAATAATTGATTGATTGATAAAAATAAATAATTTAAGAGAAAAGCCATCGGTTTTGATAATTACTGAACTTTAATTGTATTTGAATGACTCGATTGATGGTTCTTGAATTGAGACGAACAGCTAAACCTCTTATCACATCCATTCACACCGCAAACAAACGGCTTATCATTGCCTGTAATCGGGATTAAATCATACGTTAATTAAATGCAAACTTTTGACATAAAAATGTTTATGTAATTACAGTGTCGTCTAATGTGTCGAATCATATTATGCTATCAAATGAAAGGCAAAACAAGAGTTAGCTTTAATTGCAATCAATTAATTAAAAGGTAAACAATTACTTTAAAATCTGTGACATAAGAGTTGTATTTATCGGTTATCTCTGGAGAATACGAGCGATTCCTCGGAGTGACAGAACAATTGGGATAAAGACATACGAAGACAAGTTTGTCTTCAATCATCACTTCGTCGCTATATTTGACAAAATTGTCTAAACTTTCTTGAGTTCCAAAGGTTCCCAACACTTCCAAGTCGTGTCGATCCGATCCCTGCGATGAACTGCTCTCATAGACAGATTCGTCGATCGATTGTCTCAAGAGAGGAGAATTGGTTCGCATAACAAATGCCTTCGTTTTGCGGCCATTGGTTATAGTGTTAGTCTTGATGTCAGTGTTTGCGAGCATACGATTGGGACAAATGTGTTTGTGATGGCTATGACTGAGAACATTGTTTCGCGTTTTCGACACAAACTGACAGTCAATCCATTTGCAGACAAACATCTGTCGATTGTTAACGCATTTCTCGTCGCAATACTTCTTAATGTTTTCCAAACCGCAAACACCACTCGATTTGCGGCCTTTAATACCAAAACCGCAGATATGATTGACTTTATGAGCGCTCAAAGCCATTAGATTCTTGAATTGTTTGCCACAGTCCTCGACATCGCATTCGTACAGAACGTGTGACTCTTTGATGTGAGACTTGATGTCAATGTATTCTTTCGTATAATATTTGCATTTCTGTGTATTATAGACACAGAAATAGTTGGGATCGCCGTCTATGCACTTAATCTCTATGTATTTCTCAATACTTAAGTTGTTTTGCGAGCAATTCTGAAGACCCGAAGTGGACGGCTGTGACTCGAGGCTCGGCATCGGCTCGTTCTCGTCGTAATCGATTGGTTCCACTTTAATCTTCGGCTCGAATATAGAGTTGGGCTCCGAGTTATCAAAGTCCGGGTATTGGCCGTAATTCACGGACTCGTGTCGCAAATGTTTGTCCAAAATATGTTCATTGATTTTATCCTTAAGTTTGGTCACAAAACCGCATCCGTCGTCGTATTTACACATAAAATACACACTGTTTTCAAATTCTTTGAGATAAATATAGTTTTCCAGCGATTCCTGAGTGTTGTCGTCGTGTCCAACGAATCGTTTAGTAAACGACAGATTTTTGGCAATACTCTCATTGATTGCGTTCACATTTTGTCTGATTTGTTCGCTTAGTTTCAGTCTATTCTTTTGAGGGCTTTCCTTAAAATCTCCATTACTTTCGCAAACATTAGCGAAACTAAACTCATTTGGGATTTCAGTCGTCATATTCTGGTTAATGGATTCACTTCTGAACCGACAGAACATCATTTCGTGGGTTTTTAATTCCTCTTTAGAATCAAAGAATTGGTTGCATTTGAGACAACAGATGAACCGCTGGTTATTGAATAAATCGAAATCGATGTCCAGTTCCATAATCTCTTGTTTGATAGCCATCGGTGTCTGATGTCGTGTCAAATGAAGATTCATTCTGAACGGACAGATGTGCTAATCGTATGCAAAGAATCCATTCAATGTTAACACAAGAATGCAATAGTGTTTAAACAATCATCGAAAACATACCTGAGAATGAATATGCCTTTTCATTCCAGTGAAGTATTTGGTGATAGCGTTACAACACTTACATCTGTAGTATTTCTTGCCTTTAATGATAACCCGTTCCCTATATTTGAAGAGATTTTCGTTACGACAGACACCGATCACGCCTTTGGATCCGTAGCCAAAGCTGCCGAACCCGCAGATGTGGTTCTTCTGGTGCTCGCGATATGAGTGCGGGTTTTTGAACACTTTATTACAATTAGGTTTATTGCACTTGAAGTCCACTCCAATGTGCGAGAGGTTGATGTGTTCGGCGATCTTCTGACTCTTTTTGGTCTTAAACTGACAGCCATTCCATTGACACCAATATATCTTCTCGCCGTCAATCACTTTCTTATTGAAATACTGGGCGACTCGTGTCATACTCGCCAACCCTTTGCAACTCAATAACACGTCTCTCTTATTCTTATCGATATTCAAGTGCTTTTTGGCCAAAATCTCGCTCTCGATCTGTGGCTCCGATTTGCCGTAAAATTTCAATTCGGGAATTGAAATGGCCTTAAGTGTGGACACAGTCTTCGCATTCGACACAGGCTTACCACTCGAGACAGTGATAATAGTGGGCGCAGTCTTAGGGGCCGCCACAGTCTCAGGAGTGGACACAGCCTTAGGAGAGAAGACAATCTTAGGCTTGACCACAGTTTTAAGTGTGTTCCCAGTCTTAGGAGTTGTCACAGTCTTCGGTCTGGAGATTGATTTAGGAGTGGAAGCAATCTTGAGAATAGGCATAGATTTAGGACTTGATTTTGGTTTAAGAGTTGCCACCGGTTTAGTTGGTGTTAAAGCTTTCGACTTTGATTTAAGCGGCGAAGACTTAAAAGTCTTGTATGTTTTAGTGCTGTTGGAAGTGTTGTCTTTGGATTCATCGGAAAGTCTGACCCCTTTTTTGTCGAATTGAATTTTGTCCCAATATTCGTAATCGCTGTGTATTTTGGGTCGACTTCTGATCCGCTTTTGTGTCAAATGACTGTTAATAATGTGTTGTTTGACAACCACTCGAAGGTTGGATCCGAACTGACAGTCCGGCCATTTGCAAAACAACCGGTCGGTGCCGTTGATTGGCCGACACTCGACATACAGTTCCCACGCGTTGTCGTTCTTCGGGTTCTGTTCGCGAATTTTGGTGATATTCTGGTCACGAATCGAGTGTTCGTTTCGTTTATGGCTTTCAAAGCACTTTAAATACGAGAACTGTTTCTGACATCCAATCCATTCGCAGACATATTTGCCGGTCTTCTTCATCGCCGGTGTCTTATCGGGCGTTTGGTCTCCATTGGCGTCACTCAACGGTTCCATCGTTTCTGTCAACATATTGTTTGCACACAAAGAGTGATCACAAAAACAAAACTCAAACTTATTTCTGGAGAGCAAAAAGATGTGAAAAAATAAATACCAGTTTTGATGTGTTTGTGATCTTCGGTGTCGTGTCCTCTGCAATGGTTTTGGACATCGTTTTCGTCGTTTGTCTCGTATTTGCATTCATTGTGTTTACAAACAAATAAATGGCTGGAAATGTCTTTGCGATACATTTGCGGCAAATTCTCAGACATTGTCTGTCACTGAATGGCAACACAACTGACGGCACAATAATTGATGAGTTGATCCAAAAGTGTGCAAAAAACACATGAAATGAAAGCAAAAAGTTTTGTTTAGTCGCGAATCGGAGAAAAAACACAAAGAAATGAAAGCATTAATCGTTTTATTCATTTAATCCTAATTTCATAATACATTATACAATACAATAGCATTAGTAATGCATTACGTTATACAGGGGTAGAGTATATACAGGGGTTGTCTACACATCTCTTTGACGCAATTCTTCGAAAATATTCATCACTTTTTTGTAGTCTTCGACACAGACTTCACATTACATTCCTATTCATTAAGTTGTGAATTGGGTTTTGTGTGTCCGAGAGTGAGATGACTGGGATGTCTGCTCCCAAACCATTGCCTTCGCCCCCAATGTATATCTTATTTACTATTTTAATTCATTTGTTACTCACTTTAATGGAAAACATTAAAAAATTCCACTTCTTGTTGAAAGTTAAAAATAGGAGAATCGATGCAATTGTAGGGCAGATGTGTTGAGACGAGAGTATTATTAATATTATATATGGGAGAGAAAGAGAGAGGAGGGAGAGGTCGACACCCAAACGCAACCAGCGATCAAATGGGTGTGAGATATACGCTGTGAGGAATATCAGGGATATATTATGGCATTAGGAGGCCTATACTGACTACCAAATCAGCATTACATTGCATTTGAGAACAAAGTATTATATAATTACACCATTTGTTCACACATTCTCTCGAAAAAAATATAACTTTTGTTTTAAAATTCAATGCTATTGTGGATTAAATTAATCTCAATATAATTACTGAATACACAATTAAATGACACAAAACAATGGAAAAGAGACGTACAGTAAATATTAATAGGCATTCATTTATCGATTTTAGAAATTATGACTTTTATTTCAAGAGCATATAAAGAGTCAAATTCTGGTACTATTTGTAAAATAATTAGCATTTTGTTGAAAATTTTACTGCAATTTAAAATATAGTGTATTTATGTCATAATTCTTCTCAAATAATTTCTAACTTCTGTTTATTTATAACATTTTACTCAAAACACTAAAGACATGTAATTAAACGCATATGAAGTGAATGTTTGATATAAAACACAATTATTGGTTAATAATCTTTGTTTATTTATAGATACAATAAAATTAAAATGAATTATAAATAATAAAATGAATATTAAATTCAAATGTAAATAAATAAATTTGATGTGAAATGAACGTCCGATTGTAGGGTTAAAACAACTAATATTTAACAAAAAGTTAATTTTTAAGTTAATAGTTAATCATTAGTTCTAATTGTTAGCCAAATAATTCCGATATAATTATATAAAACAGTTTCTATAGAAAATGAGTATTAAATTAGTTTTATATAAGATTTATGTTGTTTTGCATTAATTTTGGAAAAATAATAGAAGACTTTAAAAATAAGGAAGAATTAAGAAAGTTTTAGATTAATTGCTGTTTTTAGACAAATATTATATTAAATAGTTTTTTAAATTGCATTTTTTGTCACTTTTAGAAATGATTATAAAAATAATAAAAGATTTGCAACTGATTTCAAAGTGATAATTATATTCCTTCGAGTGAATTATCAATTGCATCGATGTTTTGATTACTTTTATTCTTTGTTTCACCAATTCTTTGCACATTTCGACTAAAAGTACTGCTTTGCGATCCATTAATAGACAGACGGTTAGGACAGATGTGTTTGTTGTGAATGTGAGCCAAAGCCACAGATCTGTTCTCAAAGATCACATCACGACACCAACGGCACGGATACACCATTCGGTTATCGATAGTCACTCCTTCTCTGTAGAGGCGAATATTGTCTAAATCGCAAACACCGGTAGGTCTGCGACCCTTGATATTGAAACCGCAGATGTGATTGAGTTTGTGTTGACTCAACGCTATAGTTGTCCGGAACTGCTTCTCGCAGTTAGAGATATCGCACACAAACAACTGATTGTGCGCTTCGTTCGCATGAGTTTCCATTTCGGACATAATCTTAGTGAAGAATTCGCAGCCGTCGTGAGTGCAGAACAGACGGGTCTGTCCGTCAACCGTATGTTTCGCATACTTTTGTTGTCCATTCCTTCCAGAACTCACTGCACTCACAGTCGGAGCACTTCTTGCGCTCACAACTACTTCAGACGGGTTTACATTATTAACGAGGATTTCCACTGTTTTCGACTTTTTGCTCGTATTTTCTTTAAAACTTTCCGTTTCTGGAGATTCAGTCATAGAGTCGTCTATTCTTTGCGACTCTTCATTAAGTTGTGGTCCAAAGTGTTGTCTCTGAATATGATCTACAGTTTTGTGCAATTGTTTTGAAGTGTATTTACAATTCCCAAAAACGCACAGATTATATGAGATGCCATTCATTACTTTTTTGGTGATATATTTGTCTATATTTGCCATCATTTCTAAGTTTGCAATCGAAGTGTTTTGCATTGAATTGCCGTTTGTTTGTTGAGAAGTGGATTCGTTTCCATCCATTTGTTCATTTGGTTTAAACCGCTTTGCGTTCAATTCATCGTTACTATTATAAGTCATCATTTGTTTTGTTTTAGTAATAAATTTGCAAAAATTGTTTTCGTGTTGAACCAGATCTGCATTGCTATCAAAACTAGCCATACATTTGATACGTCGGCACTGATATGTCTTCTTAGTTGCACTATTTGTGTCACAACTCTGTTCAGGACTACTGGACAAAAATTGTTTTCGTGTTGAACCAGATCTGCATTGCTATCAAAACTAGCCATACATTTGATACGTCGGCACTGATATGTCTTCTTAGTTGCACTGTTTGTGTCACAACTCTGTTCAGGACTACTGGAAACCATTGCTCCAGAAGTCGATGCTATGGAACCCAACCCGAGATCGAGGTTCCAGTTGTCACTCTTCATATCACTGATCACCTGTTGGTTCTGTTTTAGCTTCAGATTCACTCTATAGGGACAGACGTGACTACAATAGAGATCAACATTAGATAAGTGTTTAGTTTGTTAATGATTGCAAGGATTACATACCCGTGTAAATGCTGTTCATTGCAAACCATTCGTATGAATCAAATAAATAAAAGCAATTCATCAGTATTTCATCTAAACTTCACTTTATATAAAACATACCCTTTTCATAGCCATATGATATCGAGTGATGGCATTACAGTTATCCCATTTGCAGCGATAAAACTTCTTCGAGTCAATGATAACCCGCTCTCGATATCTGTTAAGGTTTTCATTACGACAGACGCCAATCACACCTTTGGATCCGTAGCCAAAGATCCCGAACCCGCAGATGTGGTTCTTCTGATGCTCTCGATATGTATTCGGGTTTTTGAATACTTTATTACAATTAGGTTTATTGCACTTGAATTCCACTCCAATGTGTGATAGGTTTATGTGTTGAGCGATCTTTTGACTCTTCTTTGTCTTAAACTCACATCTCTTCCATTTGCAGAGGAAATACTTCTCTCCGTTCAAGACTTGACTTTCATAGTATTGCCTCACTTTAGACATCGACGCCTAATACACATCACAACCAATCAATTAATCCAATCATTCAAACAAATCAATCAAAACACTTACCAATCCTTTACAGCTCAACAATATGTTCTCCTCGTTGTTACTGATATTCAAGTGATTCTTTTGGACATCTGTTTCATCCAAGCCTTCATTCACGCCATTCTTTTCTAAAGCAATGTTTCTCTTCTGGGGAAGAATCGACTGCAACGAAGCCATCGACAACTGTTCCAGCCATTGATTATTGAACATTGGATTCCAATTGGGTGTCGACTCTATACTAAACGGGAGGACCGGCTCTAAAAGTGGCGGTAAATTAAGATTCTGATCGCCGTTTGGATTAGATCTTTGGAACCAATTATTGTGTGGAAATAAAATCTTTTCCCAATATTTGGTTCCTTCGTATTTGTCGATGGCTTCCAATGGATTCATTTGTTCCGCATTCAAGTGTTTGTTCAGAATATGTTTCGTAAGAATGCTTTTATGACTGGAATCAAAGCGACAGTCCGTCCACTTGCAGAACAGCCGCTCTTTGCCGCACACGTCCTGCCGATCGATATACTGATCCAAATCATACAGATCTTTGCCGACCAAACCATTTGATTGGTTTGAATCCATTTCAGTTTTAATGTTTACTTTCAGCTCAAACGGAGTGTCTTGAAAGGCATTTGTCGGAAGTTTGGGTTCGTTGTCATTAGAATTCACTTTTGGTTTCGAATCTAGTTTTATAATCAATTTAACATTTAATAAATTAATTTAATTAACAGTAACTCAAACTATTTGTTTCATACCAGAAGTGTTAGCCATTATCTCCATCTGATCTTCAATTAAATGTCGGCTTAAATGTTGAATAATTTCCGATTCATTTGACTCTTTTTGTTGACAATCTTTGTATTTACAGACAAACCATTCGTTTGAATCAATTGTAATAGAGTTATAAAATTGTGTAAAATTTAATCCATTAATCTTTTGGTCATTGTTTGTGTTATCGTTTGTAAGACTTTTTAATGAATTGTTTGCATATTTAGTGTTGGAATCGTTTATGATATTGTCGTTGCCGTTCAACTTGTGGTCAAACTTTCGGTGCCTATAAAGCGAGGACTCGTTATCGAAATGAGCGCCGCATTCAATACAATCATAGTTAACGACTCCTTTGTGCTCCAGAAGTATGTGTTGTCTCATAATTACAGTCGATTTAGTGGACAGATGTCCGCATTTGCAGTCATAGACCACTTCATTGTTGACCAAAGATTTGTTAAAATAATGGTTGAGATTATCGAGTAAATTGTCTGTTAGTCCACTTCCAGCGGTATTTTCATTGGTTTCATTGCCATCAGTCTTCGAAACACGGTTTCCGTTCGTTTGGCTATTATTTGAATCGCTATTATTATGGAAACCATTTTGGTTTGAATCAATGTTGTGGTCATTCTTCTTGTGTTTATAAAGACTCATTTCATTGTCAAACTTTGCGTTACAGTCGTCGACATTGCAGTCAAACTCATTGCGTCCGATGTCTGACCAAATGTGTCGGACGAGACTTATTTGGGATTTAGTGCTAAACTGATTGCAATTGCATTTGAAGTACACTTCGCCGTCGATTTTCACTTTCCTATAGAGATCTGAATAGTTCTTCAGTGAATACAAACCACCCGTCGATGACTTCATGTTTGCGGTCGCCTCCATATCGGCCTCAATATCAATAGCTTTACCGCAATTAGAATAAGGATTGTCATCACTCGCATCACATCCTCCATCACTTTCATCCATCTTTGGTATCACAGACAACGGATCAACTTCTATGATCTCAACCAAAGGCTGCTCCCCATCGAAGCTGTCGTTCATACTATCGTTTAGATCAACACTGTTTGCCAAAGAGTCCATATCCTGGTCTTCGGCACCGCTACCACTGTTGGCCACTGAATGCGGACATAAGTGCTGTCGGAAACAAACCATTTATTACAAACAGTTCACTCATAAACTCTTTGTTAAACAATAACCACATTCTGTACACTAACTATAGTGAAGGACAGGAATACGACAGACAAGACATATAGTGTACAAACTATATGACAAACAGATCCATAAAAGGAGTAATGACTGCTTAATGATAACATACCTGATTGTGAACATGTCTTCTGATACTTCCCGAGTTGTTGGTGACGAACTCACATCCACTCCATTTGCATCCGAAGACATAGTAGTCGTTATCGAGTTCTCGGAAATAGTATTTCTTGATATTCTTAACGCCGCAGACATTGTTTGGATCTTTCATTTTGTGGGAATCGATACCAAAACCGCACAAATGATTCTTCTGGTGCTGAACCAGACTCTCGGGTCGTTTGAAAGTCTTGTGACAATTGGTTTCATCGCATTTCAATTCCTTAATACCGATGTGTTTGAGATGTATGTGTCGTGCGATGTGTTGCGAGTACTTCCAGGTCTTGAAGTCACAGTCAGACGTGTTTGTCTATATGTCTCCGAAAGGCAAATGTTTGAGAGCAGATATTATAACAAAGTGAAGAGCCTAGCCTATTTCTGGAGATATATACAACACTAAGTGTGGTGAGAAGGGTAGGTAAAGAAGCGTCATCATTTCAAACACTTCCACCCATTCCTCCACAGATATGTCATCACAAGTAGTGCCCAAAAATCAATGGTTTGGTTGAATACAATCACTCAAAATCATACAAATATTAGTCTCGTATCACAAAAAGCAAAACTTGTGTTCAATTATGAGATTTAAAATGCATTTCATTTCACAAATCAAACGACAATTTAAGCCAAAAGTTTGTCCAAAAGAGTTGTCTTATGAATGAAGGCATCGATAGATCTAATGGTATATTAAATGATATATTAAATGGCATTTCAATCGCACATATGTTTCGTTTGGATATGAAATGAGTAATTAATGTGTAATTAATTTTAATAATTATTAATTAATATGAATACACATTAAAAGATAGTAATATTAAGTATAGATATAGTGTTAGAGTGTATTGAATGATAGTATTGAATGAATTGTCAATCAAAACACTCATATGTTATGAACAGTTAGACTCGAAATACAGTGAAATACTATTTACGCCAAACATTATGTCCTTCTATTCACTCCAACACTCACTGCAAACACAACCAGATATTCAACACAACCTCATAAGCGCTGTCTATTCAGACCTACACTGAATGCCGCTTATAGTGAACGCTATCACGAATTCTATTCACTATTCACTACACCCCTCACCACTAGCTATCAGTCCCGACATATATTAGTCTATATTTAATCGTTTATTACATTAATATTACGATAGAAAGCGATTCAATGGACGCACAGATCTGTTTGAATCGATTTAAACAACTTTTTGGATAACATTTGGGCTCAAAAATTATTGTCAGGATTATATACGGCATATGTATATCGAGTACACTATACAGTATATGACCAGTATATTTAGCTTAATGTAACCATTTGTAGAAAACAAAGCTATAATCTATATAACCTGCAGTATATATGGACTGCGATATATTGTTGGCGATATTATAACTTGTATTACTTATTACATAACAATTCATTATAAGCGCATAATATGCGGGCGTTTGTCATATAAAGTGAGAGCTGTATAGAGAGAGCGCAGTGCATATCAACCCAATTAGTGTTATCATGAATGCATTGTTTAGTTCATATAATATCTTGGTTTATGGCCTACACTATGTGTGCGTTAACGCCAATGCATACATTCACTGTATACACACTGTACTGTACTGTACTGTACACTGTACTGGCGTATATTGGCGTATATTACATAATATTACATAATATAGGCTCAGGTCAACAAATTGAGCACTTTAGTTTTTTCCACTTCCCATTCATATATGACATGACTTTTGGTGCTAAACTCAACCCGCATATTATCCATACAATACACTACCCCTATATATACGCTCATAATTCAGACCCTCTAATACTGTATTTGTTATAATTTGTAATTAAAAGTTATAACCAAACGCTTAGATGTGTTTGTTTTTAATTCGTTACTTTTCGAACAATGTAATTTTATAATGTTTTAAACATGTTAAATATTGCTAATTAAAACACATTTGGCCGCAAATATAGTGTGCCATGAATATAGCGAAGGACATATTCTCCATGAAATTGATCATGCATTTTTTTCTAGAACTCAAAACTTGAATGCAAATAAAATGATTACATTTATACGATCATGTTTAGCATTAATATATTAATACTGCTTATAACTTGTATAACATATAAAATAGCCTTTTATGAGATTTAGTATATTAGGTTAAAAAAGGTATTATTTTAGTGACGTCAGTGTAATAGCAATGTAATAGCAGTGCAATAATATTAGCATTCATTCATTCATACGCTCTAATAAATACCTTTCCATAACTAACCCAAACATACCATACGGAGAGGTGTGTCCGCACAACACATACAGTGCAGTCAGTGCTGTACAGTATAGTCAGCACATACTGTATGAGCGGTGGTAATAGCGGCGCATATTTGGCAAACTAATAGTGAGAGAGATATATACCTCGCTGTGCTATCTCTCATGTCCGGGGGTGTAATGCAAACTGTAGTTAACCTGCTTATAGTGCTTGCAGTGTGCATACATAGTCAATAACCCTGTTTAGTTTAGATTTCTAGTTCTGCCACTTTTCTCGCAGTAATGAACTCTCGTATATATTCTCTACACTCCAGCGCTCACACGGGAAGTACTGGTTATGTGCTGTATATATACATAATATTGATCGTACTGTACATGTATAAGCAATTAAACTAATCCAGCTATATCTACATTACTATCGATCTATGTATTTTTCTGTATATATTTATTATTCCCAGTATTTTTATAATCCACATGTATTTATAATAGTTTTCTAACTATACATAACACACCTGTACTATAGTCTCAATACATGTATATACTGTACATATCTGATTATATATTATCATGATCATATATCAAACATGATGGTAGACTCAGGCATACAACAGCACAATAGGGTTGTATAATATTTGGCAAACTCTGTGTCCATAAAGTGAATCATTTAAGGAGTTTCTAAAACTGGTTAACAATATTATGGATGACATAAAATGCAAATAATAGCTCTTTCTTTGGCTCGTTTCCAAGCGATGCAACGGAATCGTGATAAATGAGCTAGGCACATTATCATTTATATTATTTTTATAGCATCATCACATGTACAGTATATATTATGGCCAGTTTTGGGCTGTGCTTATTATAATGCAGGGCAGACATATTGTGTTGCTGTGATCTTTGTAATTTATCATTTCGAAATATTTTCCAGGTCATTTAGCAATGATTTATATATATAGAGGTATATTTATAGGGCTCAGTAATTTATATGACATTACATCAGGCTGTTTTCAAAATTATGTTGACCTCAAAAGCAATCTCATCACTAGTTATTGTATATAATTAATTAATAATATTTTATAAATAATATTTATTAAAAATTGTGCTCTTTTTCTGTTCGAAACAAAATCATAAACTCATTAAAAGTTATTAATTATGAAAATATAACTTTAATTTCTAATCCCAGAACATTTCAATTATTAAAATTATGTGGCATTAATTTTACATTATTTTTGGAAATACTAAAATTTTCATATCGACATTTTAACATGTTAGCACGTATACACGTTCCAGCGAACATTAAATTAGCGAAACTTTATTAAGGCAGAGAAATTGCTAATTACATTTACACACACATACGCTCGCATAATATAACTCTTTTAATTGTAATTATATTCAAAGCACCATGATTAATTTCAAAACTTAATTACTTTGTTTGTGCTCTAACGTACAAGTTATACAGTATGACCATACGTGATTTAGTTTATTTAAATTACAAATTTATTTTATTAAGTGTACCGTAAGTTTTATATAACTTTTATAACTGCACACATAGTGTCAACATATCGTGATTTAAGCATTTTGTATATTATTATTATTATTATTCTCATGTATTTATCAAATATTTGTTCCCAATTTATGTGTTGAATACACAATATTAAAGTCAATAGTAATAATAATAGTTATAATAATAATACACAATAATAATTGACAAACAGATTTCCATTTAGGATACTGTCTCATAGTATGAGGGCTTTAATTAGTATATTTATAATTAGCTGAATATTTTATTTTTTACATTAGATTTATGTTTTTCATAAAACACATTATAACCACACTTTTAATGACAGACTTTTAATAATATTTTTAATGAATTTCTTTAATAATTGACATTTTTGTAAGTTTTAAGAATATTTTTAACAACAATTGTGTTGTAATTTTAAATCCGTTTATTGCTTTACCCCGATTGTGCATAATTGATATTTTACAAATATGTTTAGATTTCTTAATGATATTATATTATTATAATGTATAATAATTAATGTATAAAGTTAATTAACATGATGTAATTTTAATAGAAAAAATCAGTAATTGTTGGGGATTTCATTGTAATGGGGTTTCACACTAGATAAACATGAATTTAGTTAAAACTTCCCTCAAATATAAACAAAAAACTATTAAAATTGTAAAATTTAATTACGATTTTTGTACAGCATTAAAATTTTTGGATGGTATGAATAAATAGTAATATATTTACTAATTTAATATCAAAATATATTATTTAACTCCGCTTATCGTACATTAATTAGATTATTTTGTAATATTTATAAATACATGACAACACTGTATAACTAGTGTTGCCTTATCTAACAGTAAATCATACGATTGAAAATAAGCAAATTTAGTCACCATGCTCAGTTTTTAGGTCAACATTTGCAAAATTAATCAAATATTATATATGTCTCGAGTTCTACACATTATTGAGCCAATGATTAGATTAGATTTAGATATTATACTGAACTAAGAAACTGAATATTAAATTATAAAAACTCATTGGAAATGTACTGAAAAACGAAATGTTTAATCATAATTATAAATATGAGTTTTATATATTATTTATTTAACTAGCACTTTATTCTAGCGTTTAGTTAAGAAACTGAATATTAAATTATAAAAACTCATTGGAAATGTACTGAAAAACGAAATGTTTAATCATAATTATAAATATGAGTTTTATATATTATTTATTTAACTAGCACTTTATTCTAGCGTTTAGTTTCAATGACTTTAACTATTTGTGTGTTTAAGATAAATGTTTAAATTATATGCTTGACTATCACTATGTTTCTCGAAAACATTTTAGCAAAATATTATTTACCAAAAAAAATAATTCAATTTATAATTTCTTTAAATTTTGCACTAAATTTTGTTTTTCAATACAATCGTAAGCTCCGGGTCTAACCATTTCTCTCGGCCTTCAATGAACATACAGTGCAACAGAATCTTAACCATAAAATTGTTTTTAGCATTAAATAAATTGTTACCGCTTATAAAATTAATTTAGAAATGTTAAAAATGTTGTTTCAAAAGTACTAAAAAGGATATATTTTGTTAAAATACAAAAAATATGTAATTTATTGCTTATGGAATACGCAAACGACATATGTTTTGAAAGTTAAGAATCGTCTCAAATGTCTTTAATTAGATTTATTTGATGTAAGGCTGAGATTCTTCTCAAATGACAATCTTCTGGAACTGATTAACACGAAGAAACTGAATATTAAATTATAAAAACTCATTGGAAATGTACTGAAAAACGAAATGTTTAATCATAATTATAAATATGAGTTTTATATATTATTTATTTAACTAGCACTTTATTCTAGCGTTTAGTTCCAATGACTTTAACTATTTGTGTGTTTAAGATAAATGTTTGAATTATATGCTTGACTATCAATATGTTTCTCGAAAACATTTTAGCAAAATATTATTTACCAAAAAAATAATTAAATTTATAATTTCTTTAAATTTTTCACTAAATTTTGTTTTTCAATACAATCGTAAGCTCCGGGTCTAACCGTTTCTCTCGGCCTTCAATGAACATACAGTGCAATAGAATCTTAACCATAAAATTGTTTTTAGCATTAAATAAATTGTTACCGCTTATAATATTAATTTGGAAATGTTAAAAATGTTGTTTCAAAAGTACTAAAAAGGATATATTTTGTTAAAATACAAAAAATATGTAATTTATTTGAATACCTTATGCGTTTGCTGTATACAAAACTTTCAATTCTTAGCAGAGTTTACAGAAATTAATCTAAATAAACTACATTCCGACTCTAAGAAGAGTTTACTGTTAGAAGACCTTGACTAATTGTGCTGTTGTCAGATATTATGCACGATATGTAAGACATGGCATAATATGCCTACAAATTGTCATTTCTTTTCATAATACTATTTAAGGACAAAATACAGAGAATATATTTATATTGAATATAATATTAGATATAAGAGGTCTTTAAACTAAACCCATATAACTCTATGCGCTATACATTTGTACTCTCGAAACAATTATAGATATTTACGTGCGATAAACCCAACAAACATATGGGACAGACTTATTACTGCAATTTAAATATAAATATAATACAAAGTAATTATAATTGTTTAAAATGCATTTATTATGAGCTTATTTTTATTGCATACAAACACACAACACATTACATAGAGATACTGTACTATTGGGCAAAATGTTTAATAAAGTAAATATTCAAGGATAGTTTTGCTTTAATTTAATTATAGTGCATAACAAGGGAATGGGTCACCTTGAGATTGCTGTGTGCCATGCATACAATTAATGCTATTTATGCCATTTATGCTTGATCACTCTACACTGATAACTTATTCATGTTCTGTGTGTTGAAATTAATATCATATTTAATATATGGACTAAAAAAGAGCACAATTTTTAAGTCAAAAATGCAATAATAAATAATATAAATTTTGATTTCAATAACTAATGAGAATATTTTGCTGTTCAGAGAAGCTATAAAAATAATTCATTTATTAGCACAACAATTAGGACTCAATTTCTAGCAAAACAACCTCATTGTTAATTAAATACATTAATCACTAAATTTTTTAACAATAATTATCTATAAATAGAGACATGTTATATAAATGACATAAAGTGGTAGATTTTTCAATGATTATAAAGCAAAATTTTATTCATCAAGAGACGATAAATTGTTCTTATGATTATGGTTCTAAATTTATTCGCAAACAATATATTCACCACAGTGATTTGCCTACGTTTAAAATTATTAAAAATTTTAATAACTAAAAATGTAAAATATTCTACAAAAATAATTAATTAAATTATGAAATATTATTGATTTTACAGAAATAGTATAACAAACAAATCTATTCGTTACTAGACTTGACATTAAATGAATACACATATTCTTTATTTTAATAAAAACTCAGTTTTACGAACAAATTCCTTAAACTACAAATTCATTTC